TTGTAGCTTCGGGAACAATAACAGTGAGTTGAGGATTAGTAAAATACCTGCTTAAATTAGAAATAAATGGTGATAGGCAATTTCAGAGAATACTTGGCTTTTCTACGAATACCACATTAACTTAAATTGTTTTTGGACATTATGCCATTAGTCCACTTCTTCCTGCAAGTAACATGCTTGTTTCATATTACCTGAGTGAACAATTGTGATTGTTCTTTTCCAGCTCTCTGTATCATAGCTCACCGTCAGGGGCATTATTGCTTGTTTCTCAATGCTCACAAAGATGCTTGTTAGAGAAATTAGATCCAGAGTGCACTGCAGGTCAGCCCCACACCTTTAGGCATTACAAAAAGAGAGAGCACAAATTCTAACACACTAATCAAAACAACTTTCCAAAAATGTAGGATATGTTACCAACAAAACAGGGGAATACAAATAATGGAGAAGACATTTGGCTATATATTTGATGAGGCGAGTATTAAAGCTATTTAACAATTGCCTGTTAAATGAATATTTCATTACAGACTCTTTGAAAAGATATTGATTTGTGTTTGTTGTAAAGAGCTCCAGCACAACAGGATTGTTTCTCTTTTGCAAATGTGAAATGTATGTGCTACAAATGGTTGAGCAGATTCACAGCATCCACTGGCTTCACATGTTTAGAAATGCTTTAAATGGCCATGGTTATGTGTTTCATGTCCCTGTTCTAACAATGTCTAACAGCCTGTACAACAAACGGACTCTTTGTTGTTTGTCATATGTTAGAAATTGACAGGGATATCTTTTGAGAAACTGCTCTTTGTAAACATAAAAGACTGGGACTCCCCCGTAGCGTCAATGCACTAAACACAGCACATATTTAGAATACCCTGGGTAAAATATATTGTTCATGTGCTTGGACATATTTTTGTTTGGAAAGAAAGTGTACATTGTTTCTACGTTAGCTATAGAAATCTCTGCTTGCATTTTGAGTTCACGAAGGTTAGCCTAAAGACTGCAATCTTGGTCAAATAATCAATGTTGTTTTTCGGTAACGGCTAAAATATGAACACATGAACACAACAGCACAATATCATATTGACACAGCACCACTATTAAGGAGGAGCTGTTTCCTTCCCCTCCAGTTTGATCAATGAAATGGCCTGCTTTTGGCATCTACATAAGCGTTTAAGCAGTGTATTCAATCAATCAATCAACAGCTTTATTAATCCCGCAAGGGGCAATTGGGTATTGCTATTTTGCCCAAAAATTAATTGGCACACATGTTTAAGTTTTTGTTAAAATTGCTAAAACTTTGGTCCACGGTTTTCAAAATATGAAATAAATAACACAACTTGCATGGATGTTATAACCAGTTATGTCTGTTGTGGATGAAATCGATATATATCAGACTGAAACCAAGGATGCTAATTTTGCGACCATCTTTTACAGGCTGAGTCTAACATGCATTTGGATAGCCAGGTTGCCATTGCTGATGGAATAATGTTAATGTTGCATACAGACATTGAGTTCAATGTTTCAAAAATTGAAGTATTACTTAACCTTTTTGTCTTTCTGATCAACATGTTATTTTCTTTTCCTTTCTCCAGGTGTTTGCTTGTGAACCCAGAAGGTCTAGCTGAGGAGAGTAAAGGCTATCCGTCACTTTACTTCCTTTTGCTGTCCAAACAGAGAGGACGTTTTCTAAACTCAATGCCAAAGGGGAAGAGGCCAAAGCCATGGGTGAGTGTGACTAACTCTAACTAAAGTCCTGATTTCCAATTTTCTTTAACTTTCCACCACTCCTGTAATTCTTTTAACTTGTGATTGAAAATAAGTTGGTGTTAACTACTGAAAAAGTATTTTGGCACAACCTGCCTAGAAGTCTATGCTCAGCAAGAAAAAGTGAGGATATCTATAAAAAGTTTGAGAGGTTGAAAATTAAAACCTCCTGTCACACCTGTGTCTTTGGGGCGCTGAAATGTGTAAATGCAGGAGGTGAGGAGTGTGTCTAATACCCCAAGTGTGTCTAATAATGTGAGTTATTGATAGCCATATGGGCTTGTGTAATCACTGCAAGTTGGATTCATTTCTAGTAAATATATAATTCAAAGTAGCGTGGGGCAATTTTGATTTTAATTAAAAAAGACCCAACCTTTTTAGAAACCTTCGTCCGCCTCTCGCCGCGTTGATGAATTGGAAATGAATGTGCCTCCAATTCCTGCTTTTTTTAATTAGGTTATGTTATTGGAAGGAAAAGCAAACTTGTGTGGAATTGAATTAGTAAGGGCCAGATGTGACCGCTTCCTGGTTATCAGGTTTTCTGGCTGCCTCCCTCTCCCCATGTGCCCTGCAGCATACTGTACAGGAAGCGTGGAGGAGGGAGGATGGGGCGGGTGGGAGTTAGGGAGCGGAGAGGTGGAAGGCGGAAGTGTGTTTAAGTCGAAGGCGTATGCAGTGTAACTGTGTACAACCCCCCGCGGTGCAGGTTGTGTAGAAAGGGAAATCGTTTTTCCTGTGGAGAAACATTCCCCCATTTGAACTTGCCCCCCCCCACCTCCCTGTGTGTTCTTTCGCTGCTTCATTTGCTCACTTACTGTAGACCTCTCTCTCCTCTTTTATACATTCACAATGTCACTTTCTTTGCCTTTTTTTATTCCACTTCTGCCCTGGAATGTTGAAATACTACCTCTTGAATCTCACTGACAGACTCACACAAACCTAACCTTACTGCGGTTATTGTCCTAAAAGCTTTCTATCGTGGCTATTATACTGTATGCTTGCAGCGATGTGGTATTGTGGTGAGGATTTGCCTCTTGTATGAGTGATAAACAGACCTTGAGGTGTATGACTTCCTTGCTGGGCAATTTTGTGAGCACTGCTTTCTTAAATGACCACAGAAAAGCCTGAATGTGGGGAATACCGAGCGAATTCTAGAGGATCTCATTTTCCTTTCCTCTCTTTTTGTGTCTCAAGGGGCTTACGCCTATAAATGGTGTGCTCTATGGTGCACACAGCATCCCATTCTTACCATATGCCCTCCTCCAATCTTCCCTCTATCCCCCAGGGGAGACCTGGGCCCTCGCCTTCGCTCGCCTTGTCACAGGAGAAAATTACACAACTGCCAGCATATTTGTGACAATTTAGTGAGCACTCCATCGAACAATATGGCAGTAAAGATTGCTCTATCGGTTCTGGATCATTTAGAATCCAATCTAATCCAGGCCTTTCGCAAAAAAAGGCCAAATAAAAACAAAGTGCCTTAATTAAGAAAGCTGGGTGACTGTGAACTGTTCATGAGGCAGGTCACTGCTTGGCCTGCTTATACACTTTGTCCCTGTGGGGACAACTTTTAATACAAGGCGCTTTAGGTCTTGTACTTTACAAGTACTTCAAACAGGAAAAGTAAGATAGAGGAATGAGTGGATTGTCGATGCAGAAAGGAAAGTTTTGTAGTTTGCTGTATGAAAACAAAACAGAGTAACATTAGAACGGAAAGCAAATGTCAAAAATCATGCCGATGGAAATTCTCAGGGCTGGGCTGCGCATCTGAGGAGATGATGTTTGTGTTTGACGTGTCAGTTGAAATGTGTGTCTTTGTAGCTTTTAGATGAGACAGACTCTCAGTCACAAGCCAGTCTATGCCACTGATGAAAAAGCATCAGCCATACACTAATTGTTTAACTTCACCCAGACCCTGAGCAGGTATAAATGTTGATTTGTGTTGACTGGCATGTGCATACTGAGCATTAGAGCAACCCTGCAGTACTTAAAGCAGGTATAAAAACAGTCCAAGATTTGAAGGCTGTGCTACGATGGCAGATTTTGACATTATCTGATGAAACACCACATGGGCATCGTTCAGCGCTTGAGCCCCCCACTACAGAGTGTGTGTCTGTGTTTGGATCCTCTGATGGTCCCTACTTGCTAATGGAGATAGATTCAGGCAGCACTAGTAGCCCTCCCCACGCCATACTCCCGTACTCTCGGCTTGGCCACATCATTTCTCTCCCTGGCTTAATGTGCTGCTCCTCTCGTCGGAGGCTGTTGGGTGGGTTGTAACTTGTCTCTTGACACACTCCCCCCTTCCTCCTCCTTTTGCCAGAGAAAACATCTGCCCCCTGCAGACTCCTGTTCTGACAGCTCGGAGGGGAAAGATGGAAAGTTCTCATCCTCTGCCGCAAGCTGTTTTGTATTCAAATAGTCTCCTTGTTAAGTCTCCCCTACAGACAATGGTTTTGTTGTTTTGTAGCCAAAGGCTAAGTAAGCTTATGTGTGTATGAGTTGGACAGAGTCTCGTTGCAGCAGGTTTTTGCTGTGGGCTTCTTCTATATTTTGTAACTGGAGATTCACTGTGTGTTTTTTGTTGCAGTTAATTGAAGCTCTGTGTGTGAGCTTGTCAGAGTGTGTTGCCCGCAGTAACTGATGGAGGTGATCAGGCATTCTGTGTGGGTGAGTTGAGCATGGCTAATGGAGGAGGAGCTATTGGTCAGTCTTTATATAATCAGATGGTATTGACATAAGTAGAAAGGATGTCAATAGACATGTTTGTGCTGACACTAGCTTACAGAGCCCAATCGTCAATAGAGATTCGATTTTTTCTCGGAAAGACTGTGTGTCATGTTTATGTGTCTGCAATGTGAATCAGTGTGTGGAAGGATTCACGATGGGTATTAGATTTTTAAACTCTGTTACTAGTGAGATAAATACACCCTTGTATTGACTGGTGAATTAATAGATATGCTAATTACCTTTTCATGTTTTGAGAGGTTAGAAAATGGATGTGAGCATGGTGTGTTTGTGGTTGTGGATGATGGTTATTATTATATATATATATATATATATATATATATATATATATATATATATATATTATAATTAAAACATTGTCTTATAAATGAAGGAGCTGCATAATTTATCGTCCTAAACTTAATGGTTATTTAAAAGAAAAAAGCCTACATTCACATTCTGCCCCTGACAGAGGGTAACATCGGGACATGCATGACAACAGCAATACTCACTGGCTTCTGTGTAGACCTGTCCGAAGCGGTAGTAGCACATCTTGTACATGAGGCAGTTGAGCAGGACGGGGGAGCCCTCGCGGTCCACCCGGAACTCTCCGGTGGGGGTGTAGTAGTCGTGCTCCTTGATGTGTTTGCCCGTGTCTGTGCTTCCCCCGATACGAACCATCCACAGGAACTTATTGATGTCTGAGGCACACAGATGGACACATTACAGAAATGATGGTAAAAAACCTCTTAAATATAAGCTCTTATTTATTTGCCTTCCTTTTCCGTCACAAACTTATTCAGCAAGCAGTAAAAAAACGAGTTAACTTTTAGGAAGCTAGCCATGCAAGTACTAGAGCAAAAATATTTCCAGGTAAGGCAAAATCCAGGAGAGGAATGAATACTTTAGCAGAGTCAGTGTTGTGGAAGTTGTTTCTGTGCCAACTGGCAGTATCCTCTGTTTTACACTGACTGACCTAGTAGCTGAGAGTCATTACATCTATGAGAGTACAACAATTCACACTTAAAAACAAAAGCACCAGCCTAGGGAGGATAATGTCCTGGCAATACAAAACAAGACATGAAAGAAAGCCATTACCTCTGAGGGGGGCTGGTCTCTTTATGGATTAGCTTAAACTGTTTTGAGTTTCTATCTTCCTGTCTATTCACATATTGTAAATCACTTTTGATTAAAGTTTCAGCTATATGATTTGTAACATAAAAAGCTAGTGGTTTCCAAACTGTGTGGCAGGTGCAGTGGGACTTCAGTTGTTTTGCAATGAAAGTCGTTTCACAGCAAACATTTAGAAGATGCATGCTGCAGTGTCACTTCGAATGCCTCCACTCTAAAAGTGACTTCAGTAAGATGGCACACAATAAAGTTGCGGTAAGGCATTAACTACAGTGGATATTTTAAATAAATTAAAAGTAACATTTACAAGCAAAGGATGTGTCACAGTGTGTTTATGAGAGTTCTTGAAACTTTCTTTTTCATTGGTAAAAAGCAAGGCTTACTACTAAAACAGACTTTTAGAGCCAACTCTGAAGCCTCCAACTATAGTCTGTATATGTGCATGGTTACTGTTATTTGGGACGTACCATCTGAAGAATAGCCCGTCAGTCCTCCAAAAATGACGAGCACATAGCTGACGTCCAGCTCCCTCATGATCTCATAGGCTCGCTCCTCTGTGGAGGCCATGGCCTGCAGAAGAGAACACAGTTACCACAGCAGCTCTTTTTGAAACGTGATTACCCTGGAGGTTCCTCAGCTCACCTGTCCCACTCTGGAGATGTGTGTGTTGTTCCACGTGTTGTTGTCCACTAGAATGGTTCGATTTGCCATGGCCGTTATCTGGTAACCATAATCCCACCATGACATGACTTTGGCATCCTGGAAACACAAAATAAAACAGCTTACTGTGTGGGGAGCCTTTAATCTAGCAGCTATGATGCTGCTAACTTGTAATGATGCGTCTGTCATTCTGAAAGTGTTTCTCCTGACCTCAGGGGTGTTGTGGCGCAGCCAGTAGTAGGCCTCTCTGAAGTCGTCGAAGATGATCCGGCTGCCGTCGCCTCCACGAGCCGACAGCACGATGGAGGGGGAGGAGTACGCCTCGCTGGTCACCCAGGTGGAGTGGAAGGTGTATGTGATGAGGAAGAAGGCCATGACCAGAATCATCCCACTGGCAACCTGGGAGTATATGCAACCGGAAGTCAGCAGGTGTTACCTTCTTCTCCATTAGTGTGCTTTTATTCTGAATAAACATTGCTTTCTGAATGCGATTACATTTGACCAGTCAGAAAGAACGCATCTGCATCAAGATATTTCCATTGCATTAAAAGAGCTTATACCACCACCTAAAAAACACGACTCGACCCCAGTCAAAGAACAGTATTACTCAAGAAAATATTTTTGAAAATACTCCTTTAATGCTGTGTGTGTGTGATGCTTCCTGCCTTGGCCAGGATGCCTTAAAAAAAGAGATCTATGCCCTCAATGAGACTCTTCTATGGAATAAGGCCATTTGGAATAGTTTAAAGCTTCACTCATAACATTCATATACAAAATATAACGCAACATTGGAATTCAGAAACCTGGTGTTTCTGCACAGATGCAAATAGAGATTAAGCTTTGAAAGAATAATAAGAATAAAGACATTTCACTAGCTACAGTATTTTCCTCGCTGGGAACTGAAATGACAAAAAGAAAAAAGGGAGGGGAACTATTTTATATTTGTGGAATCCACAACCCTATTTAAATACTTAAAACCAGGCAGGAGTTTCTTTCTGCCTGAATAGTGAAATTTGTTTTCATTATTCTTGTTTTAATATCATGCCTCTCACTGGCACTGGATCACAATGAGTTTGTCTAACCAGTTTGAATCTGAAGACGTGAGGACTCAGGCCTCCTACCTCGTTTTTGATGGGGTAGGTGGGGTCCTGCTGCTTCTTGTTCTTCTTGTCTGGCCGGCTGACATCCAGATTCTTCATGTAAGTGGTGAGCACCTGGGACACACCGATGCCCGACAGGATGCACATGACTGGAGCCAGAACCAACATCAGACGCACCTGAGGGGAAGAAGTACATTAACCCAGTGGTTCCCAACCTTTTTTCCCCAAGAGCCCCCCCAAATGACTCCGGTTGGAAGTTGCGACCCCCCCACACACACACACACACAATGGGGGGCGGGGGCAGGGGG